TAAGACATTATTGGCTTTTTCCTGTCCTGTGCGTACAGTATGATAGACGTTGAATCGTCAACCAAAGCTTTGCAGCAGCCACATCACATTCTTTGTATAAAGCCGTAGTTTAGTTCAAATGTTCCTCACGTGTGTGTTTTGGACTCACAGCTTGCTTTTGATGCTGTCAGTTATACCGAACTACTCTGTTATTCTACAGAAAATTATGTTTGACATTTGAATCTGGCCTTTCTCAGCGAAGATGATTAATTATTTGTCGATCACTCAACAGGAGATTAGAGCAGATACAGGCACTCAATATTTTGAGTGCAGTGCATCTCAAAATATCACAGTTGCATAATCACGATGCCACTTTTCAGCAATATTTTTTGCTTTTATAATATCCTGTATTGCATTAAATCTTTACAAGAAATTCAAGACTTTTGTACCCTATACATACACACATTTAGGTTACACACATTGTGGATCTTGAACCACAATGTCGCATGATGAGGTACTAAAAGTGTTTCTTACATTTCCATACAGGTTTGAAATTGAACATTATACATTTAACAGACCCACAATTCCTCAGCATCTGTTATAGATGAACAATTTATGGAAACATGAGCACTGTCTTGAAGTCCAGAGTACTTCTCCTGGTCGTGTAGTTTCTTTAAACCACAGTAATATTGGAGTTCAGGAAGTGTCCTCTTATTTAACAAATGACCCCAAATACATTGTAGCTCAGTGACACAGAACATGCTCAGTTTCTTGCCAAAGGTCACTACTTACTGAAAGCCGTAAAGTAATAAGACAGGCGCCAGCAGTCGTCTTTGGTCACATATCAAATCCTATTTAAAAATGATCTTTGATATTAAATATCCTTTATACTGAAAATCATACTTGCTGATCTTCACTGACAAAACTCCAAAGAGTCCATATGTCTGTTTTGACAAATAACATTAATGATTAATTGATGTCCTTAATTAATCATTAATGACCTTACTGTAATTAGAAAGGCCTCCTGGGAAGTTTAGCTCAAACCCAGATTTCATCTTGAAGCAGCTTCAGTTTAAAATCTCGGCATCAGTTTAGTAAATTTTTGAGTAGAACAATTTTCAGTGAAGAACTGCACCAGTAAGTGATACAAAGGCTGGACTATCAATGAGAGACAGATCAGGCCATACATGTTCCAGCAGGGGCAGCAGGGGCAGTGTTTTTTCTCTTGTCCTCTTGTCATCCTCTGATGAGCACACCACTTTCCCAGATAAGGCAATCTGTTGTAGAAAGTCTGCCCCCCTTATTTGTTACTAAGCAACACCAATATGTGTTTAAAATAAATATTAATTTGTTCTTTACAAAAACAAAAAAACCCCAAAAAAACCCTGTCATTTTCATTTTCTGGCTGAGTCACAGGGGAGGCTGACCAAGCAAACATGACCAGACTTCATAAATGAAGCTAACTATACCATTTTAATCAAAATACATTATCATCATACATTAAGTACAAGGTTAGTACACAAAGACAACATGCTTTATTCCCCTAAATACAATCTAATAATCTGTTAGGCTGCTTACCCCTCATGTGTGGTGTCGTTTCCACAACTGAGTTCTCATTTTCTTGATTCACCTAGTTATATGAGAACCAAAAAACCAAATACAAAAACAAGCATCTAGTCCTTTTTATAAATCGGTGGTAGTGGGAAATAAAACTTCATGAATTTTTAACAGAAAACAACTTGGACCTTCTTTATATTTGCAAAAAAAGAAAAGAAAAGAAAAGAGCCACAGTTTGCAGGTGGGTCAGAAGTGGATGGGAATACACCCACTGATATTCCCAAGCCCTAACCCTAACCCAGACAGTGTCTGATGTAATACCCTGTGCCAAACCACATATTTTATTGTTAACCTCAAAGAAAATCTATTAAATAATGTTGCCTTGACATTTTCTTAGACTTTGAATTTAGTTTGTGTGATATATAAATAAAACGTTGCTACTAATAGCACACAGTCAGTCTTGGAAAATAAAAAGAAATCTCTAAAAGGGGATTTTATATTATATTTAAATTATCTTCTCTTATTAGTTTATGTCTTATTATTACAATATTTCTTTACAGATGTAAACAACAAATGATTTCAAATTTAAATGCTCTCTTCACAAAGTTTTAAATGCTTATGAGAAAATTAAGAAACCAAAAGCATTACACACACACTCACAAACACAGCTCACTCCTAATTAGGAGTTCTGACACGAATGGTGACGCACAGAGTGACGAAAAGGGGGAGCGGACAGCATGTGGGAGATAAGGGCTCGAGGCATATTTTAAAGACGTCACAGGTAGCAGCTACATTTGGATGGCTGACACTTGGAGTGAGGAGAAACTGTCCCAAAAAGCTACAACTGTGCTCAACTCAGTCAATTGAAATCACAATTTTTGTGCCATATTTGGTAAAACTGAAAATACTAATCTGAGGCACATTTCCTGGATTGATTTCCTGATGCAGTTTTATCTAGAGTTTTATAAACAACAACAAAATGTGTTCAGGGAATGAGTCTTGTACTTTGCCAAGTGCTAGAGATCAATAATACTAATAATATTTCATCAGTTGTCTCTTATGTCCTCTTTAATATCCCGTTATCTCTCTTTGAAGTGTCAAAAACACTCTTGTTTTTTATTGTTACATCTTTCTTTTTAACAATTGTTTAATATTTAGTATTATTTGTTTTCTCCATCCTCTTACATTATATTAGGTATAGATTAAATTATGCTTTTTGGAATTATAGTTTTTTTTTTAACAAATAAGAAAATTACTACATTATATAAAATTTCTGCTTTAAAAATCTCTCTCTAGTAATGTCTTTGTGCTAGAAAGATGCAATTGTGCTTTAGGTGCAACCACTTTTATGTTAACAATTTCTTAGCTGCCCCATATAATTCGGATGCATTTCCCCCCACAATAACTGAATGAATACACTGACACAGGACATGAAGATCTGATCACGGCTGATGACTCAAACTTTGTGTGATGGGTATAGGGTTTTTTTTGTTTTTTTTTTTGCTCTGCTAGAAGCCAGTTCCTGAACATGACGCTCACAGGAAATAAAGAGACAATCACATGAACATTCGGAAGAGGTTTGTGAAAGTGGAGGGCAATCACACGAGTGAGAATATAAATATCCACATTTCAAAATTATCAAATGACACTTAGAATTGATTGCAACCTTTTAAAAATTGAACAAAATGTATAATTATGGCATGGCATCTTCCCATGGGGTGATTATCCTGCTCGATTACAGCCAATCACAGACAAATTGCATTGTCGTGGTGAGGGTTTGTGCAAGCACCATCTGCTCACATAAAAGCATCAGACTTGCCTCTGGATTTTGTTTCAGTAATTTTGTCCACGTCACAGCTGAGAATATCACTGCAAATGAACTGTCTAGTTTGGTATTTTGGGAAATGGGCTGAGAGCAAGAGAAAAAGAGAGAGAGAAAGGGAGGAAAACCCTTAGAAAATACAGCTTCAGTGTACACTTTTGTCCTTCCCAAGGTGAGAAAAATCTGCATTTCTGCTTGAGGGGATGTTGTATCTGTGTGTTTGGCTGATCCAGCTGGACCCAACTTGGGATCACCATGCGTCATAAAGACATAGTACACAGTCATTTCCCAAAAGGGAAACTCAGGTAGAAACTTGTGCTGAGTATTTCAGTTTTATGCTCATTTAAACTCATTTGCTGGACCTGATTCAGTTTGTAAGAGAGATAAGATGAGATAAGATAAAATTATATTATAGACAACTGCACTGCAATAAACTGCACTCCATCTGTGTAGTCTTCCTATATGTCCTTAAAGGGCCTGAACAGCTCTTTCAATTCAAAATTGGATAGAAATCGAAACAAATTAATCCAGTTGTGCCACAATAAAGAGCTAATAACCCCACAGCTGTGTATTGTGAGCCTTTGGAGAGGTGTGGGTTCCTTGCAACTTTTAAAATTGTATATTAAGTATTTAACTTGAACAGCTACCATTAAATGCCTGATGCTTTTCACATATTTTAATTAAATCAATTACCTGTTTTCTTATGATACAGTTTTTGGTACAATGTTGCATTTACTATAATAGTAATTTTATACTGTAACAATTTACTGTTTTACTGGAGTTTGAATGCACTGTAAACTTTACAGGATAATACAGTCGTGCAAGACAGTGGATCAGCATAAAATAAGTCACACAGGATAGATTTACATTTATTAAGTACATTTACTTTTAACATGATGTCTTCAAGAATCTTTAGTAGGTTTCATTTGTGGCCATATAAGAAATTATTGAAAGACAACGCTGAAGTCAAATCTTGTTCAAAAGTGCACAAAATACCACACATGACATATAGCAGTGAGACATTTATTCCTTTTACAGGGGAACGCTTGGCTAAATCACTATGGGCCTGCGTATTTTTCCACGACTCTAATTTTGTGCCAGGAAAAGGTAATTCCCCTTAGGGAACGGAGGCTAAGAGTAAATGCGAAACTGTTCATTGCATCCTTAACATATTAAATAAACATATGACCTTTGAAACTTCCAGACATCTGTTGGAACAAAATCTTGTAAGGATTTAGGAAAGGTTTTTAGATGACCACATTATCATTTTTAAGGAAAATACCTCTGAATTAATCAACAGTAAGTTATTCTATTCTTTCTTTTGCAGACTAAACTAAAAGAAAACCAATTACACATTTATGCACAAAGGTTTGGATGAAACACTTCCATACACAAAAAAATCAACAATAACAACACCATGGAGGGCTTAAGGAAAGGGCTTTTCTAGTTATATTTATAACAAAAATAATAAAATAATTTGTAAAAGACAAGGTTGACGTGAGATCAAGTGATTGTTTAACAGCTCCAGTCTGTACATTATTACGTTTACATCCACAAATGACAATCCTATGCTCTGGGAAAACTACGACACAATTCAGCTACAGCTTAAAATGTGGATGGACATTGGGTTTTTTTGGGACACCTATTTCTTTTTCTTCTGTTGCTCTTGGAAGAAGTCGTTGCAGGCAACAGTCAGAGCTGCCACCAACACAACAAACTCATTGAAATCCACCTCGTTGTCCTTGTTAGAGTCCAGGTCATTCATGATTTTCTCCACCAGCATGGGATCTTTCTGAGACTGAAAACAAAACACAAACAGATAGTGATTCAACAAATATGCAACTGGACTGATTATGTCTTTGTGGCTCTTGTAATGCCTTGTAATGATTTTTCCATAAAACAAACTTGTTACCAATATTATCAACTTCTTAGCCAAATACCTTCAACGCTTCTAAGCTTCCGGTAATAATGCATAAAATGTGACTGTTACTGGTGGTTGATATTGACTCAAGGCAAAGCCCCATGTCCGGTGGTGAGCAGAGTGATGCTGCCACCAAATGACCCGTGAGCCTCAGCTAATCAAATGCGACATTTATTACTTTGCTCATTTCCTCCATGACTGGGAAACAAGACGTTTTTTTATTCGTCCTCTAACCTCCAAGGCACCAGTGATCTTTCTGTTGTGGCACTAAAGTCAGCATTTCTCAGAAGGTTAAAATTAAAATCCACACTGGGGGTTAATTTAAATTAGAAAAAATATCACCACAGCAGTTTTGCATTTTCTAATGTAGTTTCAATTTAAATTTGGTCTGAAAAGCTCAAAGCTACGTTAAAATACAGGGTCACCTTGAGTGAGTCGACAGTAGACATAAAGATGAAAAATGCAAGACTACCAGCGGCATGTTTTATCAGTGAATAAATCTAACAATCCTAATCAAGAGCACACTTAATTTGAATTTTGCATTACTTTTTTAAAAATTCTATCAATTCTATCAAGACGGAACATGTAGTAGTAAGTACTGTATCACGCTTTGGTTGTCAAGTGTCAAAGTTTCCTGTTGGCAGAAACTCAGGGTGAACGCCACTGTGTCTATTCTCAGAGGTGACTACAGCCCACAGGGATGTGATGACATCACGAGGGTGTCTATATTTGGAGGTGATATGGGTCACTGATGATGATGATGATGATGATGTGTGAGCACCTGAGGCCTCCCACCCACATGAAGGGGGACGGACAGTAACAAGAAAGATATCTGAAGGCATCAGGTTTTAGACCTTGGCTGTTTTGTTGATGCTGTGGTCTCAATCATTTGAAATTGCAGGCTTGTACGCGCTGCTATCACACAGACTCAGGGGCAGGGATTTATCTCAAATGACCTTATCTATCTCTCTCCCCGCATCATTTATTTGCCATGGTGGTCATGCGAGAGCCACAAGCAGTTACACTTTGACAGCAAGAAAGCAATCAATGAAAAAACAATTTCCTCCAACAAGGTCAGGATGTTACATCATTTGAACACATCACTCTTAAGACTGACTTTTAAGTGAATAAGACTTCAGAGTGTTCAAGATCCATAAGCAAATTAATGCCATTACTATTGGTCATTATGGTTCAGTTAATAAATGCACAGTCATACTTCAGTACACCAGCATGTTCCCATTAATTTAAATCCATATAGGGATTGTGCTTCCTCTTGAAAATTCTGCATGACATCAAATCTTTGTCTAAATGCCGAACAGATAAAACAAACAACAAAATAATCATTGCATTTAAACATCAGCCTTACCGTGAGGAAGTCAGTGAGCTCACTGTTCAAGAGTTCCTTCAGCTCGCCCTTGTTGAGCTTGTATTTATCTCCATCATGTCCCGAGTAATTGTAGAAAACTGTCATCAGTGCATCCATTGCACTCTCAAGCTGGCTTGGCATTTTGCTGGAGAGATTAAAGGTGCGCTTGCAGTTTCCTGAAAAATAATGTAAAACAAATAATACAAAAGTACACATGCACACACACACATATGAAAAAGCATTACAACAACTATTAGCTCATAACAGTGGTGTTCCTACCTGGTTAGAGTCCTGCAAAAATGAGATCACAGACTCTTCTGAATGGCTTGTTTATCAGGAAGTCAGAGGATGCAACGTGGGATAATTAATTCCACAGGTGAGACCCCCATGGCAACAATTCTTTCCAGGTTTTAATCAGTGTAGCTAAGTGAAAAACAAACCATGTATCATGGGTATTCATCAAATCCTGAGCCAGACGTGAGCCTTGACGCATGTGTAACTTAATATATCCCTGAAGTGAGTTCAGTACTGTGCAATATACTTCATTAGAGATAGAATAGGTTAAAACTTGCCTACCTGCTCTGATGTGTTACTCATAAAAGGGCAGCATGGAGATACTACTTAGAGCAGGTGCTTTCTGATCATAACAATGACAAATGAACACGAAGCATCTCATGGCTTTTATGCCTATCCTTTAAATATTCATTCATTCCTTTTATTTATGCATTTGCATTTTCTAAGGCATTAGGCATGGGTCTTTCAGCTGGATTAGCTATGAATGTTTACGCAATGAAAGATACAACTTCTGCCCAGTTGCAACTAGACACACTTTGTTGTAAAATTTGCTAAAGTTTCTCAGCCTTTCTGGACATTGGTGTTTTTTTCATTCACTTTTAGTCTAGTCCTTGTGCTGACTGTCAGGACTAACCAAAAAACCCAGCTCAAGAGCAGAGACCAAGACAGGATTATAGCCGTAATAAATACTTTTATTGGCTAGAATGGTTTGAGGCTCCATTTCAGTCAGTGGTGTTTGAGATTTTGTCAAAATTGATAGAATTCTGAAGACATAAAAATAATCTCAGATTGTGTTCTACCATGCAATACCATCTGAAAAAATTCAGAAGCAAGAGCTTAATTTTGCAGCATATCAGTCATACCAAATACACTGCCAATGCAGTAAAAGCATACCTGGATAGAAAAACACAAACTGGAAAACTATCCGTTATGGACTGATAGCAGTGTGGGAACATCTTGAAACCAAATGCATATTGATGTGGTTTGAGTGTCCTTCAAGAAGGCTATTCCTGAAGACTGCTTAAAGAAGAGTGTTAAAGAATAAAGTTGGCTATACCAGATATTGACTTCCAAGCTTTCAAGAACTGCAGAAATTTCTTTTTTTGCCTTATATACTGAATTTCCATGTGTGGAGAAGTTTATAAAATGAAAGTTGCATTGAGTGACTTTGCTGCTTTTCTTCTTGTTCTCTCAGGCTGACCTTGCGATTCAAATGTTTTGATGTTCTCGTTCTTGGGTTTATTTTTAGTAACTGCAGCTTTCATCCTTTGTCATTCTGTGTCCCTCTCATACACAGTCGCCCCTCCTTTGTCACCGTGTCATAACTGAGAGAGGAGAATAACACTCTATTCAGCTCCGAGCCCTCGTGACAACACCTGAGAGATGTTCGTTGTCAGGTGTCCCTGCAACTTCTCTCCCACTTGCAGCCACTGTCACAAAGAAAATGACTTTCCATTTGTTAAGGTGATGAAATTGTTTCCTTCACAGCTGCTGTTAGTAATGATTGTGCAGAAGGTGCCCTGTAAAACCATAAACTGGCATTACATCAAACACTGCAATGTGTCTCATTACACAATTATCTTTCAATAAATACAAAATTCTTGTATTTTCCGCAAGATGATCCATGTCTATCATGTACAACTTAACAGATGTAGAGTGAAATTCTAAGCAACAGGCACTTTGATGAAATGATGCACATGATCACAATACTCATCACTATAGGCCATTAAATGATCGTTTTTTTTACCCTATGATAAACCAGGAATCTTGTTGCTATTTGAAAATGAATTTAAAGACACGCTTGTCTCCTGCTCACTTGGCAGATGCTCTTCCACTTTAGATCCCCTCATGTTCTCTCTCGTCATTTGCAGCAGCTTTAAGATCACTACAAAGAGAAAAGATGATGTGTCCATTTTGTTTACAGGTAAAATTTGACCTTTTTCATTGCAATAAAGAAAACATGGCTTCAATATAATAACTGTTTTCAACACTAATAATGTCCGAAATTATGCATTTAAATAAAAGGCTATCATTAACATTCCCATTGAAGGGCGCCTAATATCTTTAATTGAGGAGATAGGAATTGAACTATGAATAGCTAAGATAAGAAGAAAGTGTGTTCAGCATGTTGTGGATCAATTCAGAATACATAAATTCGTTTAAATATGTTATTAAATATTACTATATGCATTTTTTGTTTTTGCACTGTATTTGTATTTGCATTTCAGCCAAAGCTATCACCCCCAAGTAACCATCAAAAATAATGTAGGTTTAAGATACAAAGTACTTACTGTAATTGCAGACATGCCAGTGGAGTTATTCTGTTTTATTGTCAGAAAGTATGTGTAGTGTTATGTACTGTCAGTGTACCTGGGTCATTGACCCAGTGTGTTCAGTTTGGACTTTTGTCAGTTTAGTTCTATTTCCTGTGTCAGTGGTGTTCTCACCTGTTTCCAGTCATTATCATTATCCAGTCTATTTAAAGACTGGAAGAAAAAATATGTGGAAAAAGAAAAAAAAGAAAAAATATGTGGACTATGTACAAAAGTTAGAAAAAAAATAAAACAGAAGGAAAGGCCCATCATCACTGACTAACATGTATGGAATTATAACTCCATGACTCCATAACTGTGAATTGAGGTTGCGTTTAGAAGTTCGATTAAAAAAAAAAAAAAAGGAATGAAGCAGAAATGCAGAAGAAAAATTGTTTAATTCTTGAAAAGCAGATAAAAAGTAGGAAGAGCTGAAGCAAAGTATGGCATGGCTGGTGTCTCCAGAGAGATTAAAAGAGATCTCAAAATGCTAGTGGAAAAAAATATTGTTGATCATTTTGAGAATAAAGTTGTAATTTTGAGATGAAAGTCGAAACAGTATTTTGGGAAAGAAGCTGAATTATGGTTTTGAGAAATTGTTTTTTTAGAATTTTTGAGATCACCATTGTTTCAAGAAACACTGCCATGTTTGCAATATCCTCTACAAAATGCCCTGTTTAGATGAGTGGCTGCATTGTAATCAGTTGTTGGGAAAATGACATCATGATTTTACTGTATACTTACAGAACTTTAAATATGTTAAATTCCTTTAAGCATCAAAGCAATCTGGGAACTTTCAGTAGTTTAAAAAAAAAAAAACTTTGGAAGAATTTCCGAAAGCTTGAAGTTCAACAAGAATTTGTTCAAGATCATCCGTCCATGCATTTTCATCAGCTTATTCAATTCGGCATCACAGGGGTGAAGGATCTGTGCCAGCTATCACAGGGTGGGAGAACAGGCCGCCTATCTGTCACAGGAGCAGATTACTTTAGACCACTCAGCAGAAAGACGTAAACTCAAAAACACAGCTTTAATAGCTGTGATTGAATTTGAAGTATACAAAACAATAAAAATACAAGACAGAAAGAAACTAATTGGTAAATGGAGATTCCTTAAGCTGGAAGCAGATTCCAGCTCACCCCTCCTGTGGAGCATCTGTAGTGCCTCCTGCACAAACTGATTCATCCTAGTTCTGGATCCTAAGTCCATTATCTTCACATCACAACCTGCCTGCCACGCTCCAGCATTGCCACTAACCTGTTCCCTGGAAAGGAAATATTGCACCCTTCTCGGAAGCCCTCATGGAAAAAGTAAGACTGTCATCCAATATAAATTCTGTTAATCAACGGCCTGGAACCAATTAACCTTCTCTCCTTCGCTTTAAGATCAGCCCTTGAATTGCCTTGTTTTTCTCCCCTCACTGTCACTTTCTTAAAGGTGATGACAGCACGGGAGCCCTTACTGAATGAAGCTGTGTCAGACTGGGAATAGGACCTTGCGTTGCTTCAGGATCTTTTTTGGGAACCTGGTCATTTACACTAGTCTGTTTCTTTCAGCTCCGTGCCACAATTCTTCACCCGCTCTGTCTTCTTGAAATGGCTGAAGACTGTCTTCCATCATAAATTCTATTAATTTATGGCCTGGAAACCTGATTAACCCCCACTGTCAATTTATTAAATAAAATTTCTGTCAACCACTCATTGGTTGACAGAAATTTTCATCTTTTGAATTTTGGGTCCTGACTTCCTAAAATTATAACAGCATCCTACTGCAAGTATTTCCTCTGCATTCCCATTAGAAATTGGTTCTCAATTAAAATAATTAGCTGTAATGTACAAATTATTGTAATAATTTGTTGTGTGAAGAAAGAATGACAAGCAACAGAAAAATTGAAATTAAACAACAAAAACGCTGTTTACGTGCTATTAAAGATTCACTCCCACTAATTGTTGCATTTTGGCAAACATTTCAATGTTGTTTAGTACAGATATGTTGGAAGAGAAGAAAATACAAATTATATGAAAGTGATCCGTGGTGTTTTGTGCAAAGCTGGAAGACTTCACTTGTTCTTTACTGACTGATTTCTGACCAAAAATCTATCAGCTCACCATAAAATGCATGTTGAAATATGATGTTTGTAGGAAACTCCTACAAATACTTATGAATTGCAACAATAACATCTAGGGTCTAAATTTAGATACTAGTGTAAAACAATTCTTTAAAGTTGTAAAAGTTCAAATACATCACGTTCTTTACTCAATGAAAGAACCTAATTCAGACTTGCAGGGGACTGGAGCCTATTGTCATGGTTCGGGGTCCTTTTGACTTGATTTTGTGTTTCTTGTGTTTTTATGACCTGTTGTGAAATGAAACTAGTTCATGCATTTATTATTTCTAGACTACTGTAATTACTACTGTATTATCAGGAAGTGCTAAAAACTCCCCAAAAAGCCTTCAATTAATCCAAAATGTTGCAGCAAGAGTGCTGACAGGGACTAGAAAGAGAGAGCATATTTCTCCTGTTTTGGCTTCCCT